TAATAGATTAAGTCAGCAACGATCTGAAAGCATAGTCAGATTGCATTAATGTGGTAAGGTGTGCAAAAATGTTTTGGTGTATCTAACTTACCCTCTCGTTGTAGCAAACAGCTCTCCCCACTTAAGTCACATTTACAGGAGCATCCATCCTCGATGGCTACTGTTCCGGGTGTGACGGCTGAAGCAGACATGCTGTGTCCATGAGAAGGAGGGCCACTGGAGCGTGCAGAAGGACGATTGTGACGGTGCCGATGGTGATTACGCGGCCGGAGAGTGCGAGGATGACTACGACAACAACGAGAAGGGCACCAGTTTAGGTGGGACTTTGGAAAAGGGGAGATGGGAATAGAGCCGGTAGAGACGGGGTTTGATGGTATGGCAGGGATATCCAGCACATTTGTGCCAAAAGGGGGCGTAGAAGATGGGAAAGTAGAGGTTGTGAGGGAGTCACAGCAAGAGGAACGAGAAGTCGCGAACCGGGATGAAGAAGCTGGAGACAGGGACGCGTAGGCGGAGGATGGGGCTTGCCGAGTACGATATAATTCATTTTCACCAGCACCCCGCCTGCGCCCTCGGCGCTCATATTTACCAATGTGTTTGGCGCAATGATCCTCCACAGTCATGGCCCTAGGTGGTTGCAGCAGTTTTGGCTCACACGAGCGATCATAGTGACCTGCTCGATAGCGTAGAGGCATTCGACCAGGCTCCATGCTCCAACTGGGGTCGGTAGATAGAGTGTTGCCTGAACGCGTGTCTGAAGGTGGTAATTTAGCCTCCTAAGCGAGAGCAGATTTTACAAAATGTGGAAATATGCCGGTTTTAGAAAAGAATATGAAAAATGATTGACAAAGAAATAGAGGCAGGCAACAGAGCCTCCTGTAGACAAAACGAGAATAGAGTTTACTGCCTATGTCGAGTGTGATGCCAGAAATTGGTCCGGGAATGTACTTGGTCCGCGATCACACCTGGTCCCCTTGTATACAAGACTTAGTTGGAAAACTGAGGCTAAGCCGATCTTTTTTCGCAACCCACTAAGTAATTAAATTAACTATTTACATATTACTCAATATTTTATAAAATACCAAAATTTAGAAGGCTAAAAGTCATGGGAGAAAATGATTGTTTTGCAGGCTAAGAGAAGAGAAGTGTGTTACTTAAATGAGATTATTTTTCTTGGCATCTTTGATATTCATCCTATATATTAAGTTAAATATGATTTCCAGTTTAAGACTTAATAAAAAATTAACCAATACAACCACATTGAGAGAGTTACGACCTTTAAAGGGCACAGTTTTATATTATTATTATTATTAATAATACTAATGATAATTAATATCAATCATTTATGTAGCATACTCTCATGAAATATGTTCAAAATAACAAAGCATCTACCTGCGAAACACGAGATAAAAGACTCTCCATCTTATGCCGAGACTCCTTCAATTTCTCAAGCCTAGCCGACAAGAGACGAACAAACTCATTCGGGTTGGTCTCAGCCAAATTCCAGTGCTCCTTGACGGTCTCCTTCGGCTGCTTTGAGCGGCTCTTGCTGACGCCTCTATAAGCATGATTCGCATCCCGGGAAAAAATACTGCAGTCAACATTTCCATCCCCCACAGACGTCCCAGAGGTCCGAATTACCTCACCATTTTTGCAACCTTCGATATCATTAGTAATAAAATATCCTCCACAGGGATTAGTTGAAGTCATCTGACTGCGACAGCAGCTACTGTCAGCCGTAGAACCATTGTTGCCATCACGGACTCCAATGAGGCTGTTATTGTCCTGAGTTTTAAGCAGAAGATTGCTAGTAGGCTCAAGAGAACTGGTAATGCTAGAATATAGATGAACGGGCAATTCAGATGAGGTGGCTGAGAAACTGGGAACCGAATTGGATAGGCTGCGTTTGGGCATGGTATAGGAAGAACAAATATAAAGAGAAGAGAAAAAGATAATACAGGGTAAGGACATTTCATATACGAATAAAAGTTTGGTTTCCAGGAATCTCCTAATTTATACTTGCTGAGCCAACTTCCATGTAGAGTGAAAATGTTCGGTGAAGAGATCTGAAGGTCGATTCCACTAGAAGATGAAGTTAGATTCCTATTGATCAGCTGCTCATTGGCTTTACTTGAACATTCTTACTAACGACATTTCCGACTTAATCCACTTCGACTCCAATGAAAATATGCTAAGGCCTCATCCAACATATGGCGGACAGCATCATCATCATCAAGAAAATTCATCAACTTGAATATGGTTGTAAGAATGATACCCTGCTCTGATGATGTCCGTCATACGACGGATGAAAGCTTAGTACGCTTTCTCAGGAATCGAAAGATATTCCTTTGGAAACAGCGTCAACAAGAATGGTCTAGAAAGCCAATTGACAGCTGGTCCGCCGTCATCTTCTCGCCAATCAATTTCACTCTAAATTAATTGAGATCAACAAGAATATTTCAAGCATTTATAACTAAATATAAAGCAAAATTTGCGCTCTAGTCTGATACGCAAATACAGCCGGGCATAAAGGTAGTCCTTGAAAAGAAAAT